AAAATGACACTGTCCCCGTCTTGCGCTTGCATCTCTCAATGCTTCCAATGAAGGCTCGTAGTGGAGTGTTGCGAATCTCGACGTAAACAATGCGTCTCACACAATATGCCCAAACCTCTAATCGCATTTGCGTCCATTTCTGGTGAGTGAAAGGACGCGCTCTGCTGGGCTAGCTGGCCTCCGGCATTTATTACTTAGTCAATAGGGAAGCGCGATCTGCTAGTAATGCATACACACCCCACACACACGTCTTCTCTCCAGCCAAACGACACAAAAACACCTTTTGGACAGTAAAGTGCAAAAGCAAGGTTACACTCACCTAGTTCAGTAGCCGCTTTGACGTCGATGTTATCAAAACCGTAGCCAATCTTTACCACTACCCGCAATGCTTTGAACTTTTCCAGATCTTCCTTCTCGAGTTTAATTGAGTGGTACATGAGCGCTGCCACCGCCTCATTCAGTACCTAAATCATTGGAAGTCAGCGCCAAACAGCTTGCCTCATTTGCGATTCGCTTCTAGCTCGCTGCCATTCGCCGAGTAATCATCAGCCAATTACGCGCTGGTATATTGCCATGCAGAGAATATTAAATGAAGCTGCGATGCTCGCTCAGTTTTATATCGAAGTGGGCAGTGATAGGTTAGGGATGGCGTGCGCATGCATCTGATGGGTGCAGGTGTTCAACGAGACAATCGCCGCGAGGACCATCTGCCTGTCGTGACCAGTGGCGCTAGCGATCGCGCTCTGGTCTCTACCGCAGCTACTGCTCATTATGAGTGCTGCGACTTGTTGTGGGTATCAGAGTGATTCGCGTGAATAATTCGCGCAACGCAGAAGAAAATCAATGACAGAGGGGCATGAGGAACACGGCGAAAAGGCGCGCCGAAACATGACCCTCATGTCAAGCGATGAGTCCAGAATCACATTTCGCCGTATGCCACATATTGTGCGACCCTCGTCAGCGTTGCGAGTGTGTGTGTGCGTGTATGTATGTGTGTGTGTTCATGTGCGGCGCTCGTACAAACGACTCGTGATTACGCTGGCGAGACAGCGAAAATGCGAACAACATTCAATGTGAACTGACTTTCTCATGAATCTCATGAGTAGATTGCGCATCGCAGAACGCAACGGTGGCCACATCTTTCAGTAGGGGCATCTCGATCGTGCAATCCCGGCCATCCAGTAACGCAACCAACGGCCGTGCGCCGGCTGGTCCGTTCATGTTCCTCGCCGATGACACTGCAATGCGTAAATTTTCGCACATTAGAAAAACTTCAAGTACAGTCAAGTTCTTGATGAGTAATGCAGACTACGGGATGGCGGTGCTATGCAGCAAATACTAGTCGCTCTCGCCGGCTACGGTTTCACGTAACGCATGCATCGCAAATGATCGAACATTTCAGCAGATCTAGCTAGACTAATAGCCTCAAGTATGTACTTCTCCAAAAATAGATAACTATAAGAATCGGCGAAGCGAAAGTTATTATTAAATTGATGAAGAGCGATCGTATGAACTTATAATGTACTCACTAGTGACTGGATATAATGAGAGAGAACAACAG